CACAATTTCTGAAAAAAAAATCTCAAGCTTGCTTTAACTTTGAGAGACAGGGTTTTTATTCCAATGGTCAATTACAACTATCCCTCTTAGCAGTGTCTTATTTTTCTTTTGTTGTAGAGGATTCTGCTAGGTGAAACAGACAGTAAGGCACAGGAAGTCTTTACCCATGCAAATAGTAAAGGACATGAGCAAGGTTACTGAGATTTGCTGATCTTCTCTTGCAAGGAAGTTTGTTTTTCCTAATCTCCAGACATTTTTGTACCCCGTCTCCTGAAACCTTGTCCACTTAACTTTGTTGGGGTCAGGGGAGTTGGCAGCACTCATAAAGTCTTTTCAGTGCTGCGTGCAGATAGCAATGCCATGTTCCTGCTCCTCAGTGTTCCCACCTAAGTGGGGGCAGTAGCCTGATCAACCAGTCAGCTGCTGCTCCAGGAACTCATGTTACTTAAAGTAAAGAAGTGTGCTGTGACCTAAACTCATGAGACAATAGCTGAGAATAGGTCTCATTGCTTGACTTGGCTGTATTTAAGCTGGAAGAAATGAAACCATTCTGGTCCTCTTAAATTTCAGTTCATGGAGGATGCATGAGGCACTTTCTGAAAGTATACTTTAAAGCAAAGACAAAAGAAATGTTCCTTTCTGATAGAATACAGAGACAGTAGGACGGATGTGTCGCTATCACCACCTCAGCCTCCAAGGAGTGGAGCAGGTTGGCCCCAGAATCTCCAACCCAATCCCTGTGATGTGGACGCCCAGCATAGTGCTGGAGGAGCCCCTGTGTGCAGAGCTGTGCCTGGCTCCAGGCTGCTGCTCCCAAGTCTTACACTGGGACTGCTCCTGCAGGGAAGCCTGAGAGCAGGCTCAAAATTCTAGGTTTTGGGCTTGAGCTGATACATTTAACAACTTGAGCCTACTTGGTAGAAAACCCAGAGGGGCTTGCTTTGGTGTTTCATAGTCTCATTGTCAGAAAAATAATAATTTTTGAGGTTGTTTTCTTCCCCTTGTAAATTGCATTGTCACTGTGGAAAGATCTCTTAATTTTCCATTTCTCCAGTAAGATTTATCATGTGTCTCCTTATTTGTGACTTTTTTAATATTATCTAGCTTTCTCTACTTAGTATTCCTGTACAGCTGCTTATTATTATAAACTATTTGTTCAGCTTTTCGGGTGATTGAAAGAACAAACAGCCTAGTGTGTTGACTTCAAGTGTGTCTTTGACAATGCCCCAACACTCCCTTCCCTAAGACGGTGCTCTTCCAAACAAGAAAACGAGCGAGTGATTGAATACCATGCATGTGAAGAACTCAGATGTTGCCTTACTCACTCAACCCCAGATGTTCTCTTCCCAGGCCTCATATTCAACCCTTCATTAGGAATTTGAGAGAAATGCTTTACTGCGGCTCCTGGCTTGGCTGCTTTTCAGATTCAGAAAGAATCTCCTACAGTCACAGGCCCTTTTTTCCTTTTCATTTCTTCATATCTCTCTAGAAACTTGTATTATCTTTTTTAACAGTGCAGAAAAACATCCACATGTGCATAATATTTTAGGGCTTTTTTGTAGCGTGTTAATCTCTGAGACTAAAAAACCCTCTTGGTCCCAGTCTCATTTTTAATAGGATAGAAAACTAAGAAGATACATAAGGATTATTATAATCTCACCCAGGAGCTCCCTCCAGCACTATTACCTATCTGAGACCCATTATCGAACAGCCTTCTCCACTGCTCTAGAAAAGATGTGCTCATCTTGATTTAACAAGTCATGATAGGAAAAGCGAAACCCTGAGCTGTCGTGCTTCAGAAAGAATGGATTAGCTAACTGATTGTGAAAAGAAATATTAAGCTGGAGCTAAACACCCTTTGGGGTGCTGTCCTCTCTCCTTGCTTTCTTCTTTAGTTCCTTGAGAAGATGTTTGTACACTGGGAGGTGTGTGTATTAAACATAACCAGCTACTCCTCCTCCAAAGCACAGGCAATGGACTGCTTGAGGTGAGCTGCTTCCTTCTTGCAGCTCTCCTGGAGCAACCCATTGCATGTGTTTTGGGAGCGTAATGAAGCTGTTGAAGGGTCTAGAGCACAAATCTTAGGAGTGACTGAGGGAACTGGGGTTGTTTAACCTGGAGAAAAGGAAACTCAGGGGAAACTCAAATCCTCTCTACAACTACCTGGAAGGAGGTTGTAGTGAGGTGGGTGTTGGTCCATTCTCCCAGGTAAAAAGCGACAGGACAAGAGTTGTGCCAAAGGAGAAGTTTGGGTATTAGGAAAAAGTTCTTCTCTGAAAGGGTTGTAAAGCACTGGAACAGGCTGCCCAGGGAAGTGGTAGATTCCCCATCCCTGGAGGTATTTAAAAGATGTGTAGATGTGGTGCTTAGGGACATGGTTTAGTGGTGGACTTGGCAGGAATGAGTTAAAGGTTGGACTTCATGATCTTAAAGGTCTCTTTCAACCTGAACAATTCTAGGATTCCATTGCTGTGACAGGGGTTTCTGCACAGAAAGCCTATATTGCTTCTCTATGTACTCCACAAAACTTTGAGAGCTGGGGTCTTAGATAAGAGAGAACATGTCCCAGGCAGATAAGAGGCTTATTTCTAGTGAGATTCCTGTTTGCAGGTGGTAGGAGACTAGTCCATCTGGAGGTGACAGAGTTCTAGCAAGCATGTGTGAAACATCCTTCAGACACCCCAGGCACTCTCCTACCTCTCATCGTGGTAATGATGGTGTATGAGAGCATGACTTTGACCTCTGATGTTGAGGCAGCCAGTACACAGCTATACTTCCCTTCTCTCCACCCTTCTCCATCGCTGAGGAACTGAGGGAGGGCAGGCAGGAAGGACTTGGTTGCACAGCAGAACTGGCTCAGTCAAGGCAGGACTCAATCATGCAGTGAGCTATACAGACAGGCAAAACTTGTGCTTATTTCTCAGTCTTTTGCACTGAAAGTAGCTACGTTTTGCTGCAAGACTCTAGTCTTGAACGCCTCTTTAGACTGCTTCGAGAAAGCATCACAAAATTTCCCAAGCAGAGGAATCATGACTGTCAACAGCACAGTCACACACATGGTTTTTCCTTTCTCTCCTCCCTTCATACCCCCTGCCTCAGGATGAAATTTATAAGATCTTGTACACTGCATAGAATGCAAACAGACATTGGGCTTGTTAAAAACATACTTATCTTTATTTGAAAGTTTTATATCCACAGATAAAAGGCAGCTGATACATTGCATAGTATACCTTTTTTTTTAGTATGCTTATTATTCAGCACAACTGAGAAAAGAGAGGATTACTGGCTCTAACTTCCCACAACAAACAGTGAAGTTAATGGAATAATAAATTAAAGTAGTAGTAGTCCACATTATCTGCAAAATAAATGTTCACAGATACAAATATGACATGACTGATTGTTTCCCTTCTCCTCAAGAGTTCAGTGGCTTATTAGGATGGTTGCATAAGCTGAGTTTTTATTGAAATGCTGTGGTGCTGTAAAATACAAAAGCCACACAGAGTGGGTTATTTTGTCTTCAAGAAACCTTGCTAACGAGATTAATGGTGCTGTTCCCCTGCCCTTGTGATGGTTGGTTCCTGTCCCTGTTGTTGAGCCCTTGCTGCTGCAATGAGGCAGACTTCACGCTTCAGCTGCAGCTGATCCTGGCTCTAAGGCACTTACAGGGCCCACCAACTATTTACACTACAGGTGCTACTCCTTCAAAGGATGAAGCTCCATACATCCCTCAGGATGTGGGAGTGGGGGGTCATGCAACCTCAGTGTACTGGCCCTTATCTCTGGGAGTGTCCTCAGCATCCCACATAAATGTTCATTGCTGGAAATCCAGTATCCAGACCTTCTGTGGTGTTAACCCACAAGAACAGCTGTAGGAGATCCATCTTGTGGGTTTCCATGAGTGCTTTCTGGCTGACAGTCATTCCTAGGCAGCCAGGCTATGTGTGGCCAGATGGGGTTTCCCAGGGGAGCCAGTCCTGTGCATGGGCTGAATGTCAGGGTGCTGCAGGTTGCCACCCACGCTTGTTGGGCTGCCTTGAGCTGGAGACAGCTCATCTGTCTGGGGGAGTTTGAGAAAGTGCCAGATCTACTGGGGGGAGGTAGGTATTGAACAGGGACTGTCCAGAAAAGCTTGGAGAATGAAACTTGTCAAACAGAGCAGCAAGAGAGCTCCATTTGAGACTGGGGAAGGGAACCAAGTAGAGGAGTTCACGCACAGTGAAGATCCAGGAGTCTTTACTGCAACAGTGATGATGGCTCATACATTACACAATGAGAAAAGTCAACCATGTTCTGAATTACAAGGTTCTAATTCCATCCTGGGGATCTGATGACTACAGAAACCACCTGAGCTCTGCTCCCCTGGGTTAACAACCATATACTCCTAGACACAGTTATAATTCTGTTGTATGTCTCGGATACCTGGCACTTTTTCCCCCCCTCCCTCCTTATGTACTTAATATTGAGGTAGAAGTTTCAACTAGTATCAAAACACACAAAGTAAATGAACACAATCTTAGTGGACTAGTCGTCCAATGACCTTCAAAATTTGTAAAAACTTTCATAATGTGGTTATAAAATTTGTAATTGAAGTAGCTGACAAAATGTCATTCTAAAGATGTCAGAAAAATAGTATTGAAAATTACAGTACTGAGTTGCAAGACATTTTCTTAATATATCTGCTTTAAATACTTTTTTTTTTTTTTTTAATTCTCCCTGTGCAACAAATGGCAGAAACATTTTTTTTGTAACATTGGAAATATCAGTACACAATGAATTCCTAAAGACACTGAACAATGACCTAAATATAGGTTATTCATAGTAGTTGGCTTGAGTTGAGCATTGCTTTTATGTCCCTTGCAAAAAATCTGCATTCCTTCCGGAGTTTATAAGGAAGATCAAACTAATATAATAGTACTAACAAACTTTACAAGGAGACTTAAATGATGTATTGTTCCTACAATATTTAAGAATAAAAATCATCACTGACATCATAATTTTGGGCCTTACAACTCCTGTAATACTAAAGCAAGTTTATACTCATATCTAAACGAAGAGAGATAAACTACTGCTATAGGGGCTGCTGTTAGTTACCTCCACAGTACCCACCATCACAGAGTCCTAATTTCAGTTTAGAGAACTTTTTTAGCTTGAATTTCCTTCTATTGATTTAACTATTGGCAGGAATGTGAAAATACATTCAATGTAAGAAAGCTGTTAAAGTCAAAAGGGAAAAAAAAAGTTCTTACAGCTATTTTCCAAGAAATACTAGATGTTTTGGCTTTAACACTACATTTTTAAATCAGGAAAAAAAAAAATCCATGAGTAAGGAAGACAGATACTGTTTACAAGTCTTCAAGAGGAACATTTCATTGACATTAAAAGGCAACTTTGCAGACTCACTTGAAATGTATCAATTTGTAATCTACACATTTACAGGGGCTGCTCTGCTCTGAAAGCTGTTTCCCAATCTGTGCCAAAACATGTGAGGCTGTGTAGAGTACTTCTGATGATAGACCTCCAGGCTCTGTTTCTCCATAATTGATTTAGTTATTAGTTATGCAGGGAGAGAAGAGATCCCTGAGGCTTGGTAAAACAGTATTCAGTTACTAAAAGCAGCCCTTTGCGAATTAATGTTATCCTACCAGCTCTTTCTGCTCATTATTCCTTCAAGTCTTGTTTTCCTGGACACCAGCTGTCACAGAGGAAGTCTCCAGCCTTTTCTTCTCCTGCCTCCCTGGCTGGCTGAAGTTGCAGCAGCACGGTCTGGAGTGTCTCCTTCACCACCTGGATCTCCCTCTGCAAAGACTGTGCAAGCTTTATTAAGGAATAAATCTAGAGGTGATTGGCAGTCCCTTTTCTCGTTCCAAGTTATTAAACAAATTCTTGTTCTGCAGCTCACAACAGATGGCCATGGCTATCTAATTGTAGCTTCAAGCTCTTCCAAATTGTATGGATTAAATATTAATACATTTCTCACACTTGCTTTAAAAAAAAAAAAAAACCAAGAAGAAAATCAGGCAAACTGAAGTTCTCAAGTAGCATTATTTAGCACTTTAAAAAGGGGAGGGGATGGAGGATACTGTTCTCAGGAGATGAAGAAATTGTACCATGGAGGCATCAGCACCAGCTGTGAGGTCCCTGCCGGATGGAGGGTGGGATTTTTACCCAGACACAGAGACCTGGGTGGATCAGACCCGAGGTGAAGGCAACGGGCAGCGGGAGCAGTCTCAGAAACAAGCTGAGTGACCGCAGCTTGTGTGGCATTAGCAAGCTCAGCAATGTGGGCTATGCAAGGCAGAGTGAGGATCTAGGTAAGCAGCAAAATTAGCTTATAGCAGAGCTAATGTTTCTGCTCTACTTACTTCCTTTAATCTTAGCTAAATTATCAGCATAATTACAGCACAGAGAACACAAATATAAAGTCATATGAGGCTGCACAGTGAATGCTTTGAACAAATTGAGAAGCAAAGATATTAGCAGTAGCAAGGAAAAGAGGGCACCTGAACAGCATCTGATAATTCAGTAAAAATACTTCATTTGGTTAAGAAAGGAGAGGCTTCCACATTTGATTTGCTAGTGTCTAGTTCAGGTTTCCTGCAAGGCACTCAGGAAGAAAATGATGACTAATGGCTCGGTCTCTTAAGAGACCTTCCACTTTCTTCTTTCCCCAACTCCACAACAACAGAGGGAAGGTGTCAGGTGGTGGCAACAAGAACATGATGGGTGCAGCAGACTGGCAGGTGAAGGTAGGACATGCACAGAGACAGTGGCAGTTGCCGAGACATGCACAAGTGCTTGGGCTTCCCAGGCAGTTCAGCTTTTTGTTCTGATGACTAGACTCTCCTGGGACTAAGCACACTTTGTACTATCAATACATCAGCCTTTCTGCTGATAATCTTACGTCAGTGGGACTATCTGTTGTTCCATTAAGTGCAAGGACTGGGTATAGCTCAACAAGACAATCACCTTAATCTTCTCTTCCACAGCTTACACTATGCAGAGAGCAAAGCAAGCACATGACAATTCAGAACCTGACAAAGCTCTAAGCTCTAATGGCCAAGCCTATGTGAACAAGCCCCAGCGCCCACCCCATCCATGCTGAGGCTTCCTGTACAGTTTTGGCTGAAGGGCAAGGACCCCAGCAGGCTAACTCAAGCAGGCTGGGCGAGAGAAAGAACTAGCAGTAAGTTGTCAAACGATTGCTGAGAGCACCTGAAACCCACTACAAGGGAAATGAAACAATGCCACTGAAATAACTCAGCTTCAAAACTACAATGCAAAAGAAGGATAATGCACACGGACAGGCTTTATCCCTTACAGAGCTCATCCATTATGAAATGTTGTTTTACTCAACCCCAATGCCAATGCAATATAAAGGAAAAAAGACACCCTCAGGATATGTGACTGTAAAAAGTGAGCTGATACTTTTGAAAAATTGTGACTAGAGAAGACCATGGAGCTATACAAATCACCACTATTTCAGGCAGTCACAGCTATGCCTTTGAAAAGCCTTTTTGCTCCTTTTGATTCTGTTATCAGCTCCTCAAAATTTCTTTTTTTGTCTATTTACATACTTTTATTATAATGTTTTACTCTTAATAAATCTTCAGCAGGCGTTTTCATGCTTATTTCTCATTTCCAGAAAGCTCTATTAATCTCAAGGGGATTCTGTCTCTGATTACAAGTAATAGCAGTACACATAAAACTTCTTATAGCCTAGGATCTCAAAGCACTGCACAAGGACAAATTAATTATGCTTTGTATCTTCTCTGAAGTAAGAAATATTATTATCCTTTTATAAGTGGTCTTGGTCTGTCCATCCTTCTCCAATTTAATCACGAGGCTCTGCTGAAAACCTAACTCATAAAACAGAAATTCTTCAGTTTATGAACACTGTGAAGCCTCTGAAATGTAATTACTTCTGATGTGAGGTCTTTGACTACATGCTGTTATTTGTAATATCCAAAGCAATTACAAAACTCTTTTTCAGGTAGAGAGAAAAAGCAAAATTGAAACTTTTCACTGCCAATGGATTGGAGACATGAAAAATGAAGAAGAAATGGAAGGAAACAAAGATGGACCAACAAGAAAGACTATTCCATAGTCTAACCAGAGTAAGTTTAAATAACCTCATAAATAATATAAACAGTTGCTGTAGACCAGCAACTATCAAGTGAGCCTGTATGACTAGGCAAAATATATGGTATCCATACAGAGGGGTTATGCCTGGATAAAGAGTTCACCCATTCTAAAAATGAAAAAAAATTTAGTTTTGCATGGGTCCACATGTAAATGTGTCCTTCATGCTCAAATTCTCTACGCAGTGCTGCAAATATTGAGCCAGTATCAAAGGCAGGAGGCAAAACAAGTTTCAAGTAAGAATGTTTTCTGGTCCTGCTGTCTTCCTGTGGAGAACTGGCAAAATCTCTGCTATGTCTCATAAGCAGAAGATTAAAATACTTGGGCACAGCTTCACACAAACACAATCCATACTCTGCAACAATGCTGTGGTTCTAATGTTGTCTTGGTTGAAGCTTTTCCACCTATTTGACTTCCCCTCTTTAAAAACTATGAGCATCGTACGAGAATCCGTGACTTACAAGGAGATAAAAAGGAGATCTAATACTGTAGGCCGACTTTATTTTTTGAAAGAAAAATGAGTTCATCAAAGTTTCTGTTCTCTCAGCACAGATGTTTAGGGAAAAGAGACAGAAGGTAGATATTATAAACCTGTTGCCTTCCTATAAGAAAGGTTATAAACTAAGAGTACACTGTAGGACACCAAGGACTACCACAGAGCTAAGTGCCTATACAATTTTGGAGAATAACGGCAATTTTGGACATCTGTAGAGGAAATTAAGTCTCGAAGAACAGAAGTAATCAGAAAGGTGGTTTTGCTTGGGCTGTGGGTTTTGGTTTTTTGTTTGTATGTTTCTTTGTTTTGTTTTGCTTTCCCCACCTGGTTAGCAGTTATGCTTGTTTCTAACAGCTGAACATTACAGTGGCTGGAGACAGAAGCTCAGATAGATGTCCTACTACACAACTGCATGTGTCTTTTCCCCAGCCACCAGTATACATAGAGGGAGGGGAGGGGGGCAGCCAGCTGTGTGGTCTCACTGGAAGAGAGCAAAATGGCCTTTGGAAGTCTCTAACTTACTTCTTGTTACAAAATAAAGGGGTGCTTGTGGTACTGAAACCAGATTAGAAATTTTCCATATCCCCCCTCCATTACTGTCTCTCTCCTTCATATCCACAAAAATGTTTCTACAAACTAACAATGCATCTCTACGAAACAAACAAACAAACAAACAAAACAAACAAACAAACAAAAAAACAGAACGACTGCAACATTTTGAAAAATGGGATCATTTCAGTGGTCAGGGAATCGGCTGTTTTCAGACCACTTGTTCCAGCAGAAAATGGAAGGCAAGGAAGCTGCAGCGCATGGTGGAAATACACTGACCTACATCCATCATGGCACAAACAATACAAGTGGAACCGTCACTGTGATACACACTGGGAAGGGCTCACCCCCCTGTTATCCCAAATACGATCAAAAAGCACACCACTGAAACCTCTCACTTTTGTGGGATCACAAAATTTCTTACAGGTTCACCCAGGGTGAGAATCTTCAGTGAGGTACAATCAGGGTTAAATTTACACTCCTGATTCTGCTGAAAACCTGTGCTGGCGTAAAGCAAGACTTGTATGAGAGCCTCCCATATGACACAGGTGAAGGGTTAGTGAAGTAACCTGCAGTGCCTAATGATCATCTAGGCACAACATTCTATTTTCAAAATAACTGCTTAAAATGCCCATTTATGAGCGAGGAATGGAGATTGCTTTTATATTAATAGCCTAGCCAGGTTTGCTTCCAACAAAAGCATTTTCACCAGGAGGAACTATTACATGCATTCAAATTGTCTATCAAAATGTAACTGCTAATTAAAAACAAAAATGACTGTGAAATTGCAATATAAACTCCATTTAATTTTGCTGGGAATCCCAGGCCTTTACTGTCAGGAAAGTAACACTTCTCATCAGCTCTGTAAAAACCAGAATGAATCACCCCTCGTCCTTTGGTTTTTCCAATTAATGACATGGACTGTTTTCATACACTTGCCAATGATTAGCCATAATTTAACATTTTGTGGGTTTATTTAGTTATAGTACATACAATTTAGCAAGTATGTCATAGTGGTACAGAGAAGCTCTTCCCTCCTCCCACTGTTTCATGCTTTTTACACAAAAGTACAGTTTAATATTTGCTATAAAAGGCTTCAATAATAAATAAGAATCTCAAGTGGGTCTGTGCCTATACTTATAACAAGAAATATCACTGGATTTCTCATTTGTTCAGGTCATGCTGTCAATTACAGCGAGCAGCATGGTTGATTTAAGTGTGCTATGCCATCAAAACGTAGACTCAAAAACAATGACATCTGGGATTCTTCTTCTAATACAAACTTAATTATTAATCAAAGCTATGACACACACTAAACATTGGCAAAAGGCTTGAAAGCATCAGGAATTTATTTTTCTCAGTGGAATCTTTAAAGTCTCTTAAGAATCAGATGACAGGACTAATTTACATCTGTGCAGCCCAAAGTTAGAATTTTGACCTAATACAGTTTGTAACATTCATGTGTAAGACAGTGTTTTTGGGGGTTAGGGGAAGCGTGAAAATAGCTAGCAAACAAGAATTAGAAAAATTTATCCTGCCTTCATTGCAGTTCCAGATCTTTAAGGTCCTGCTCTCAGTTCTACAGATTTTTAATGAAGTACATTAAAGACCGCATAATTGTCCAATATTTGGGATAAGAAATTGTTTCATCGAAAATCAGATAAAGTACCATGTAAACAATAGGTCTGTCTGCTAATCAACTCTTCCATGAGGTTAATTATTGGCACCAATCTCAGTACTAGGACCTGCAATAGAGGCAAGGTAGTGAAAGATTATTTTATAGGTACTGAGCAGTTTTTATTTTAAAAAAACAATGTCCAGGTCCATAGCACTGTGGTAAGCTATATTTCTTGTTCATTTTCCAAGTATAGCACAGCGATTACATGTACCAGATGGTAACATTTTATGCACATTGATCTGGACTACCTCTGAAATAGCAACTGAATGTTAATGAGGGGTAGCTGAATTGCTGAACTGCTTCTCTGTATGTCCCTACGTTTTGAACACAGTTTCTTATTTTGTGACTGATGATCTTGCCAGGACCAAGATACCACACAGTGTCTATGCATTTCTGTATTTAGATAACATGAGCTGAATTTCACTGACAGAAGAAATCAGATCTAAAGCAGATACCTGTGGCTTAGAACAAGACAAGCCTACAACTCTCCTCAAGCCTTCAATGATTAGATTTTATTTTTTCAAGTAACTGGCAGTTTTAACAGCTATGAAGAAATATGTACACGCCATAGAAAATTCAAATACTACTATTTTACATACTTCTAGTGTATTTTCTTCAGGAATCAAAAAAGCAGTATTTCAGTTTATTTCACCTTATCTAGTAAACTGTAACTATGATCAGACCTCATTATTTGGTTTCAATATGAACTTAAGCTCATTGCAAAGAACCCATAACTTCAAAACTCTGAGTAATTTTATTACAGTCCATGAGAAAAGCTCATTTGAGAGCAAATATATGTAAGAGAGTTAGGAATTACATGTTGTGCACATATACACAAGACATCCAGATTCATATAGCTCTGCAAAGAATGCTCACAAACAGCATTAGGGAAACTGAACTGCAACTGTGCACACATGCTGTAAATACAATTAAAATAATATTGCAACATGGCCTGTAAATACAAGAAAATAATCTTCCTGTTCATTGAAATGCTTAGAAAAGAAAGATTTGAAGTAGTAATAAACTGGTGACTGGATTTCTTCCCTCTGATGCAACCTCTCCCAGCACCTTCCCTTCCACTCCGCTTAAAGTTTATCATTCTGATACCTTTAAAGAAATCAGCATTCTAGAAGAAAAAATTTTGCTATAAACTGGCAATAGATGCCCAGTTACCTAAAGATAGTGGTATTTCCACACAGTCCATTTATTATCCTTTTTCTAAGCTCTCTCCTGCAGGACCGCTCGCCTCAGCTTAGGAGGAACTGAATCCTTCCTAGCACCACCATCATCTCAGCTCACCTTTAGGTGTCTTTAAGGTCTCCTCTGCTAATCTCTCCAACCTGACTTTATTCATCTTTCTTCATCATCCCATTGCCTGCCACCTCTTCTCCACTAAAACCTAACCAGCTAAGTACTCTGTCTTCCTTAGCCTTGCTGATTCTATCTTTTCCCTTTCTTAGAAGAAAAAGATCTCTTTTATGATAACTTCTGTGAAAGTTACAAATGAAACAATACTCTGTGCTCTTAAATTTTGAAAAATGTCCACAGATGTAGGCTCAATGAATGCATCATAAAGGTTAAGCAACCTTCAGTCAAATACTGAATGACAGATGAAGCACAAAAAGAGATAAGGGTGCTTTAGAAGACTACATCTCATCTGGTTACTTGCACTGGAGTGTTAGAGGCAGATTAAATTGCATAGGATGCCACATGATGCATCTGCTGCCTGTTTTTTTAAAAGGAAAAAAATCCCAAACTACATGTGACAATATACACAGTCTCAGTCAATGATGTAGCATTTAATTTAGCTAAATCACAAATGCAGGTGCATGGATGCTTGTATCCATGCAGCTTTTGGTGTTCTAGGTGTTTACTTATATGAGTGTTTCAAACAAAAGGAATTTAACAGTAGAATAAAGGCTTTCAGTGCCTAATCCCAGTTTACAAAGAACTAACTCCTGTTTAAATCAATTAATGCTGGATCAGACCACAGTGAAAATGCATCATAAGAAAACCTGCTACAACAGAAATATACAGTTCAGCAAGACTATAAATTTTCCTCTTCTTAATGTATTTAATGTACATTAAGAACTGTATTCCATGTCAATCTAAAAGGCAAGTATTTCACATACCTTTTACATACATTCATACATACATTTTACATAGACTGATACATACCTATAGCTATGTCAAAAAAAAAAAGGATATGAATAACTCCTTCATCAACTCTGCAGGCGGAATTTTGCAATTGATCTTCCAGACGCACCAATTTCTCACTTATTGCTTCACATTTTTCTCCCAACTCTGCAGAAAATATGAAGAACTCCTACAGAAAGTTGAAAAAGGAAAGAAAGTATGTTTATTGCTGACTGCACTTTTCTACATTAAATTTGCATCAAATTAAGGGAAAAATAAAATATTAGTAAGGAGAGATGATATTTTGCAGTGGTAAGACATTGCCTGAAAGCAAATTCCCATTAGAAGACAAAAAGTTGTTACTATATAATGAGTGATTTATATGAAATGGAATGAGCTTGTCGTCTCAGTCTGTTTCCTAGCTGAAAAAAGTCATGATCTCACTTTCAACAGAGGATTAAAGGGGTGTGAAGACTGAACTGCTCTCCCTCTTCCCTGGTGTCTCACCCCAGCAGGGGAGGGAAGTCTCACGCTGACTAGATCATTTAGGTTCCTAAGTTTCAAGTTGTTCATGTAAATATGTTTTACGCTTTTAGGCCATTTAAATATTTCAAGCAGCATCACTTTTGCTATCTCTTCTAAACATAAAACGTACCTACATTTTTGAGGAAAAATTTGGCTGGAATGCTTAAGGACTTTACTCAACTGATCACAGAAAATGCATCAAAGTCTTAAAGATTACAAGATGAAACTAACTTTTTTTTTACTGTGTTATCATGAAACAAGACTCAATTTTCAAAATTAATGCTTCTCTACTTAGAAATTCTGCAGATACTTTCTATTTCAAACAGATTATTTTAAACCATTTGCAAAGTCTTCCCCATAAGTTTGTCTGTTTTCAGACATACTGCACAAAGGTAGTTTGTATCTTTCATATTTTGCATTAAGAAATGACCCAAATAAGCAGCAAATAGGAGAGGAGAAGGGAAAAAAAATTAATCAACCAACTTGTGCAGCACTGAGATAGGCGTCTTCTTTCCCTCTTGAGGCATCACAGTGCTGCCTACAGTGAATGAGAGGACTTATTGTAAGGAAAAGACTACGGTGCCAAAATGAAGTTCTGCTGGAGCCATGTTAAAAAAAAATGTAGTCATTCATCAACTGGAATCTAGAAAACTCATTTTCTCTAGACCTAGTCTAACCACTCATCCATAAAGCCAGCTGCCAGCTGGCCATATACAATCTTCAGAAAGTTTTTCTCCTTTAAAAAAGCACCTGGATTCCTTTACATCGATCTGTTACTATAAAAGCAGCCAACACTGGTTGTTTAATAAGAGAAATCAAGCCCTCAATCAAAGGCTTTCCAAAGAGATCCTGCTAATACTTGTTGAAACACTGTCCGTTGTGAAACAATCTGAATTTTGGTAAGCATATTTACCAGATAAATCACTTCTGTGCTATCCTTACACTTTGTGTCACAGAGCATGCAGTCAAATGTCAGAAAAGCTCTGCCTGCTGGCATATCCTCTGTTACAGCACAGAGCTTTGACTTTTCTGCTTTCCTAGGTCTTCTGCCAGACATGGTTATCCAACAGACCACAGGGACACGCCACCAGCTGCAGCTTGAATCCTGGACAGCTGAGCTGGTTAGGAGAGGGTATGTTGAAACAACAGAAACACAGCTCAGACAGAGGAGCACAATGCAAGAAGCAGCTGGCTGAGTCCCTGGCTCTGTGTACAAGACCTGAGCAGCCATCCTCAGAGTCATTACCAAACATCAGAATCTACAGCAGCACTCCACAGAATCTGTAGATTAAAAACTGACTCATTATTTTTAAAATGAGAGCAGGGTGTCCTGGTTTGAGCTAGAAAAGAACTGATTCTCTTCAGTGATTTTACTTTTCAGCTGAGTCTCTTCTAAGTGACTGCACTTTCTGAAGTTAATGGCATATTTTTGCAGACAGTGTCTGCTTCTAGCAGTGATATTGCTCCATATCAAGAGTTGCTACCAAGGATTGGTGTGCAGAAATGTTTTTGCTTATACATGTTCCTGTGCAGATCAAGGTCACTGCTAAGTCTTGTGTGCCATGTTGAGGATGCAGAAAGTGAAAGGCTGCACCTGTAGGGAGGAGTGGACAGGACAGGTGACCATAAACAGACCAGCAAGGTGTTCCATCCCATAGTCATCATACTCAGTATAAAGCTGAAGGATCATGACAATCAATCTCTTTTATTCAATGGCTGGTGTCCAAGGAGGACTCCGTCCATTCTCTCTTTGATCCTGATCCGTGTGTTCCTGAATCTAGTTTCAGAATCCAGTTCCCATCTGCTGCTGAGACCAGTCTGGGACTTCTCCACTGCTTGCCAACAGCATCAGTAGAGATGGTGACATGACTGCCATCACAGGGGTTAGGTTTGATATTGCTTTTGTATATATTTGATTTTATTAATTTTATTTTATTATTTTAATTAAAGCTGGTTTAGTTTTCTTTTCCTATCTGTGTTTCTCCCTTACTTCCTTTCTCTTCTCCTTTGCAAAGGGAGAGTGGTTAACAGAGAGCGTCTGCCATTCAACTAGTGGCTGGCCCAACCCTGAGCTCCCCTTTGACACAGGGGAGGAGAAAATACACATTCTCCCTGCAGCAACCAGGAATGTCTATTTCTCAAGATCAGGGACAGAAGATGAGGAACAAGTCTTCCATCCAGCTGCAAAATCATTATTCAGTACACCAGCAGGACTCCATATGCTGTTAGAGAGTGGGATAATCCAAGTAATTTATATCAATAGAAAGCTTTTAGAGAATCATTCTGTGACACGCATGCATTAACAGATGACAGTTGTCTAAGAGAACTTAGGTCTTGCGCTAGAAGAGTGAGTAAACTGCAAAAATCCAGTACTCTGAAAGTACATCTAAAATTATGATTGTCTGCAGAAAACTCCACTTCTGAACACTGATTTTTCTTTAACAGTTAATTGCACATAAGAAAATCAAATCTTAACATAATCATAATCACAAACACTAGAAAAACAAGACAAAAAATACTCACTGCTATGTAATCATTGAACAGTTAATCTAGGAAGAACAACTTTTAATCACTGCACAAACTCCTAAGTATTGCTCTGACTGAAGCCATAAGTGAAATTCTCAAATCAGACTCTTGCTACAGACTGTGTACTTCAACAAAATGAATTAGTCCTGTACAGGTCCCGAAGAACTATATCTTATAATGAACCATAAAAAGCAAATTCTTGCTCTTACAACATCAAGATATTAAATACTTTAGTTTGACCCAGTCACTGCTCCTATCAAAACTGTTACTACAGGAGATTTTGGATCACATTCATGCTGTCAAGAAGGATGACACCTCTAGTCCTGATTTGAAATCATCAGTTACTACAGTATGGTTACAGTACATTCTTGAATACTTGTGCCATTAACTATATTTGAATATAAAAAGCATTATGTATGCATTAGGAGGGTATGTCTTTCTTTTTTAGGGTACTGCTGATGGCAGGAATGTTTATCCATATAATCAGTCACCCGGTTAGTAGCATCATCAGTTGCTATAAGAGAAGATCCATTACCTTCACTTTAAAACTACCCTCACGTTTCCTACCTTATACATGCAAATACAAAGAGAACACTGGGCAGCTAGGAAATGGAATGAAATCTAAAAACTATAGAAAAATGCACCCAAATATTCAAACAATTCCACAGCTTCTGCCCCCAGGTCCTCATTTGACAAAAGTTCAATAACCCATAGAAGTACATAGGGAAGATTTCTCTCAGTGCCTTTCATGCCTTGTAACAGCACTGGCAAGATTTTTATTTGACATTTGTATATGTAGGCAGGGAAACTACCACGAGTGACAGCTGTAAAGAAGCACTTTACACTGATCCACTGATCAACAACATCTCTGAAAGGAGATTGAGTGGACTCTGCCTTCAGCTCAACATTATTAGTAAAATAAGACTCATCCAAGCTTGAGGTTATGTCAATGCTACAAGCTACTGTCTTAAGAAGTCTTAAGATTTCTTTGGTTATTTTTGCACTAACAGCACTTTTAGGAAGTAGCTACGAGAGATTGCAGGAATCAGGAAAGAGCTGAGACACAATATTGCTTTATGGATTTTTCTGTGAACAGCAGATGTAGCTGGTCGACTTTTTTTTTTTTTTCCTGTAAATCCCAAAGCAGGTGAAACCAGCCCAAATGTGGGTGTGATTTTTTTTTTTTTGCCTTCTCATACAAAACAGAAACTCTTCTCTCCTCGAGATGTGAGCGTCTGCTGCAAGAAACAGGAAGAAGAGACAATGTTCCAGCTGATGCACAGCTGGAAGATCAGCATACTGAATTAAGAGCAGAGGGAATTGCTTCCACTTCAGTCTTCTGCATTTTGTTTTACTCTTTTACAAGTCATTTTAGTCACCTATGAGCAGCAGCTCCTTGACAACATTACGCAAGGAAAATGTTTGATCAGCTTTTCTAGTGCAAACACCATCCATGCTCTCTTGGATCTAATTCAGCAATTTTATATAGAAGTCTCAGTACTGTAATAGCTAGATTAACTCTATTAGGGATTAGAGTGCCTCTTAAGAGTCTTTGGTGACTGTGCTGAGAAGCAGGATTCCCAGGTATATCCTTAAAACTCCTTCTTCCTACACTGGAACTTCTGTAAAAAGGCATTGCCTCACTTTCAACTAGCAATACCATAACCCCAATAAGACAAAAGCCTTAGAAGACCTTCTGCAGAACATCAAAACCATATTTCTTTCACCTGTACTAAATCCCCTTTCTCTCCTATAACAGTTAAAATAACTAAAAATAATATAAATAACGACAAAAAGTTGCCCTTGCAGACACATACCTCACATTATGGCACAAGGTTTATAACAGTGACTTATGGCTGGCAGAAGTGCTGTGTGCTTACCCTCACCCCACACAGAAGTTAATGGAAATTGTAAGCACCTGAAACTCCAGAACATCAGGCCAGGACATTTCTTAAATCTTTTATAGAAACAAAATGCAAACATCCATATGTTTGTCCTGCTTGAGCAGATGCTTCAATCACATTCAGGTTAAGCTCACATGTCCTCAGACAATGAGCTACAGGGCCACAAAATGTCCAAAGCATAGGTGTCCCTGTTCAGCATCAAAGATTCCCTGCCCCGTGTGCACTGTCCTGAGCAGGTGGCGTAGATGAGGAAGGCAAAGTGGCCACTGAGAACAGGCATAATCTCTTACTCTGCAAACAATGAATGTTACTCACAACTGACACCATCACGGCAAGGCTGACCAGGAATCAACCAGGGACTACCCAAGCCCACTGTGATCAGCTAGCATCTGTTTACACAGCTCTTAGAAGCTGGCAGGGATTTTGTGATTCTGGTTGCAGGGCAGAGCCTACTCCAGGGCTAAATTGCCCTTACATGAGCAAATCTTCCTACTGCAAACTTCCTTTGGGACAAACCAAGATGTGATGTTTACATTTCATTCTACCCTAACAACAATAACGAATAGCTGTCATCGCTATCATTATTTCTTCTGTGATTGAATACTTTGACTTTCAACCAGACCAGGATTTCTAAACTTTTTACTTTTTTTTCCTTTCCTCCTTTTCTTTAATGTGTTCCTGTTTTCTACAGAGTGAAGTGCCCAGATCAGTGCCATAGTCCTCTGGAGGCTTTAACATTCTCAGCTAAGCACAGTAATTATTTCTGTCTTACAAGTGACATTCCCAGTAAGGATGCTGCAAATGACATTTGCCCTTTCTTGCAAAAGAATGAAGGTAATGAATCCCTCTCTGTTTGTAATCCACTATAACCCTAGATTCTGCTTCTGAAGGACTGTCATCTTAGCTGCTGTTTACCAGCTGTATACGTAAATCCAACTTTTTTCTTCCTCAAATGTAATTTGCACCTGTCTTTTACCATATCCCTTCTTATTGATTTCAGGCTATTCTTTCAATCTATCAAGAGCATTTGGAATTCTAATCATAATCTAAATTATCTTGACTGGCACTAACTCCTGGTCTACCTCCTTTTCAAAGACAAATACTGAGTTCTGCTGATCCCCTGGGGCTTCATACTTCCTCTAGGAGTTTTCAAAGAAGCTTGTTAATGATTTGGAGATGGTTTTTCTTGGCTCCTATGCACTCAGAAGAAATTGCATCAGTCTAGCTTGCCATAGGATCCTTTACTGTGTTCACCTCTTGCTACCTTGTAGTGAATGCTAAGATAAGTTATGTCCATATATGGAGTAAAGCAAAGAAAATAAGGAAGAAAAAAAAAAATTCCTGCCTTCTGCTCTCATTTAATTATTTTCTTATTCACCTTTCTTACCAGAAGACACATGCTTTCCTTCACCTATCCCTTACATACAGCTTACCCCTGAACTTTGTTGCCATTTCATACGTCTCATTTACAGCAGTAACAGCCTACAGTTCAGTGCTCTTGCTGCTTCACTCTTACACTGTGCAACAACATTTTAGGCTCATCCTTAGGAACATTTTTTTCCTTTCCTCTGCAAGATTCTTTGGCCACTGAAGAGTTGCTGACATAGATATGTAGTTCTTTTACTGCGTCTGCTCTTTTCTGCACCAAAAGGAGATGGTGCTATACTATAAATGTGGTATCTTCTGGAGGGTACCAAAAATCACCTGCCAATTCCTCCTCCAGAGTTTGTCCCACAGAAACTCACCTGTTGCTTTTCTGATTTTATTTAGGTGAGTTTTTCTTTCACAGAGGTGGGTATCCACCTTTTCTCAGTTGAGTGATCAAGGTTTTCTCAGTTACTTTTGCCTTTACCACCTTAAATACTGCTAGCTTGTTCAGTCAGCCTGTTTTATGTATGTTTAGGAGCCTGCAGCACTACAACATGCTCCTCAGTTTCTCCAATGCAATAATTCAGGCATCAAGTTTTCCAGACAGCTGCTTTGCAACTGTGACCTACCTCCTCTCCACCATCATTTTTTTCCTACATTCCCTTTGCTTGCACTGATCTCCTTCCCTCCTCTGCAGGGGTACAACAACACATGGGAGTGTTAAATGACTCATCAAAACTACAGCCCAATGTTGGCAACTCTTCCCCTCATGTATCTTCCAATACAACTATGGAGGAGTGTCCTTGGAAAAGAATCTATGCAGGAATAGAGCTTTCCACTGCCTTCCAGAGCCCTCCTGCTGTCTGGGTGACACAATCTTCCCATTCTCATCTCTAGTTGGCTGAATATCTGCTCCAAGTGCAGACTTCCTAAAATGAGTGTACACTACTGCACTGGCTCATTTAATTTAACTGGGACAATTCCAGTTCCTGCTGTGGGAGGATGAGCCTGTTTACTGACTTAGCAATAAAACTTCACAGTGGGCTAAGACTTGGAAAAGAAACAAAACACCAATTTGTTTTCTAGTGTCTACATCCTGCTGTGCTAGGAGTCAGCATAGCTGGGTATCATTCATAGGTGGTTCCTAGTATTGTTCTCTCCTATCTCTGCTCCAGAGTCACTAAGATGCAACAATCTGGAATGACTAACACTGTGCTCTCCTGCAGGCAGTGGGGGGACTGACAAGAGCGAATTAGGGAACCAGAGCACCACAGGAACATTTAGGCAAAGCCTTGACATGGAACAGGGTGCTGACAATTTCACAGAGCTTTTATTCAGCTGTCTACAAGTCAACATCAATCCAGCTATAGCAGTGCAATAGAGCCTGGCTTTCTAGCACATTTCCATTTTCTTTATTTATATTGTTGCTCTCTATACACTTTTTTCTCTCAAAACTTCAAAAGAGCAAGGTTCCTCTGCTTGTCAGGACTCTAAAAGATTAAGCTGTTAGTCAGTACTTCTACAGTGGCAGCCCTCTATGTCTGTGAGCTCTGGTGCAGTTGTAAACCCAGCACACTCATCACACTCATATGCTCTGAGCATATCTCTTGTTAAAAGAACAACTTCTTCAGCCAAGGGCTGGTCTGTAGTACAGCTTTCAGCACAGGTCACTGCTGAACACAAGGATGCAGTAGGGCTTTTTGCTACTTTTATTCCATGGAACTAATTGCCCCTATTTCACGTCATCTGTGGACACAAGCATCTGAACAGTTTTGCTCCAATTCACAGCAAAGTTCACTGATAAGAAAGGCTATTTCCATTTCTGCGAAGATCACCTTCCCTTTCAAGGCTTCCTGTTTTATTTATGCTGAACTCACACATAGCCACGCAGTCTGTCCTAGGTGTGCTCTCATGTCACAGTCTCCTTGAACACAAGGTCAACAATCTGAGTTTGGTCTTGCAGTTTGATTATCTTTCCTGGAGCTTTCTAGCTGCTCCACAGTCTTTGGATTCATTGGTGGGAATCCAAAGAAACGCCTCATATGAGTAGTTACCCTAAATTGCAATTTTTATTTATTTAATTAATATTTGCTTGGCTGAGTGCTTGTCACTTGTACTTTACAGATGGCACGTGTGCTATTGTGGAAGGTGGACTGGAGGTTATTTACCCGTGTAATTAATTTGCTGGCTGGACATAATGCTTGGATACTAAATTTCCTTAAGATGTAACTTGCAACCCAAGGCATATCGATATAAAAATGGACCAGACTGAATCAGTAGAGCTCTCAGAACCAGTATAACTTTTCTTACATATCTATTACCTAACTCTCAGTTTGTACGTAGACATACTTTTGTACATAAACAGACTTTTCTCATCAGTTACTCTCATAAGAAATGCATCTCATATTACCCAATTATCCTAGACTTTCTTAAATATATAGACTAACACCTGACATTTTTATCTATGAAAATAGCGTAAAATGAAAAACATCCAGTATTCTTATTCAGATGAAATTCTCATTACCCTGTAGACTGCTGCAGTATATTTCTATGCTTCAAAAGTAAATTGAAGCATATTTTTAGCGGTACACAGAGAAACAAGTAAAGCATCACGACTTTGTTCCATTCCTAAACATCATTACAGTGCTACAGTGAGGTTGGCCAAATATTACTGGTCCTACTTTTCCCCAAATGTACACATCCTGTTGTTGGTATGTATTAAAAGCGCTTGCACAAGATGTAACTATGAACACCCTGAAATACACAGTTATTTTGCCATTATCTTCAATGTAAAAAAAAAAAAAAGAGAGAGAGAGAGAACGGATCCACTCTAGTTGTCCCTGTGTGGCTTTTCTAAGTGCTTGCACATTCTCTAGTATTTTTTACCCAAAGGTAATATGAGAAAGACAAGTGTCATTAGTTCTAACTGAGACCCAGAAAAGTCTGTACAGTATCACCACTTTGTAGTGCCTAGAAAACACTTACCTCAGATAAATGACCTTCTGCGCCACACGAAATATCTTCCACAATCTGTTAAAGATAAATTATTAAGTATACGGTAGATACATGGTACATAAACCATAAGATTTCAATGGAACTTATCAAAACATATAGCACATAAAAAACTTATATAAGCTGAACAATTACATCATTTTGCTTCACATGCATGAAACATTTCAATTGCATTTAGAAGGCAGCAGTGGCAGACAACCAATATTTAAAGCTAAATTGGAATACATTAAAGTCTGCCTTTGGCTTTTCAGTGAAAACCCAGAAGATACACTGTCTCTAAAACTGAAGGACTAACTATAGATTGAAACAAACTTTTCTAACGAGCTCTTACAGATCTATAGACCATTTGAGAGTGTACAGAAAATTTTCTGGCACAAACCCTGTAAGTGACTTTGGGTGGGAGAAATGAAAGACTCCACTGATGTTCGTATTGGTAACATCTAGTAACTATAGTCAGTTCCTGTTTCAAAACTTCCTTCATCTGTAAAGTCTATAAAAAATTAGCCAAAATTTCATTGATTGGCTGAGGAGTAAAGAAATTTGATGTTAATGTTATTGGAAAATCATTAATACTTATCACAAATTACAGTATTGATAATCTTTAAATACACTGAGATAGGGACATTGCTTTGGTAGGGCAATACTTGGTATTACAGGTATCTGCATATATAAAATAAAGTCCAAGATCATTACTCTTCCATAAGGCCATTATTATTACTGGGTACTATTTCAGTAATATATCTGAAAAGAGGTCACTTAGGTTTCTTTTACCTGTAATATTCATTTTTTTAATTATATTTTTACTGCAAAAGACACATAAGCCTTAAACTTACTGAGCTGCTATGGTCTCTAGCTAAAGAGTCAGCATCTGAACCATTGGTTACTACACAGCAGTATTAACATGCAGCTAAGGGGCATCCTCCTGCACAATGCGTGTGACTGCACGACAACAATCTGATCGCTGGGCACAAGGCAGCTGCCTGTTACTACAGAAATCCCTCCAGCTCAGAGCTATACAAAAACCCACTCAAACGTTGACTTTCACCCATGCTTAATGCTGACATTTAAAATGAAGATTAAAGTTTACAAATTATTTTTTAAGCTGTACAAATACAGTGTTTAATTAAAACTCAAATGAGTGTGCAGTTTATTTAGCTTTCTACAAGCTTTGTCCTTTACACGTTGCACATTTGCCTCCTGGACCACAGGCTATCTCAGTGCACACTACCGAGCTACAGCCTGCTGACAGAGGCTTTTTGGTGCTTGCTATTGATAAATTCTGAAAAATGTTGTGTCGTATCCTGTGATGACTTCTTTTTCATGACAGACACTACATTAAATATTAATTATTTCTTCATTATTGTCCACTTAGTATCACTTAGAACATCTAGTATCTCAAATAAAGTGAATCAAATGAAGGCTTTGCAATTACAGAACATCTCCCCAGCACCAGAGTGCTCTACAAAAGACCCCGAAACATCATCCCAGATGGCAAAACTGAAGTAAGCAGATGTGAGGAAAAAAACAGCAGTCCTTACACTTACCCCTGCTCTCTGCTTCTTTTATGGTGAAAAAGTGAGAAATTACCTACAAAGAATTTTGATGGGATAACTACTAAAAATGCTGCCTTAAAAAAGGTAACACTACTGAATTTTGCTTTTTACCTTGTAACTTTAATCACCTCAATTTTCTTGAAATCTAGTAGGTGTTTCTTTCCTTCATAGTGATTAAGAGGGAGCACTGCACAGCATGCCAGATAGCAGAAGGAGAAGAAAAAAGGATAGGTCAGGAACTCACGCCTGCAGGTGCACACATACTCATGTTCATCAAGATACCTGATGTTAGCGAGGTCCCAGCACACACATCTCTATTAGTTATCATCGGTGTTTCTGGTCTTATAAAAAGGTTTTGCTTATACACACATAATCAAGAAGCAAAAAATAAAGCAAGATATCATAAGGAGTGGAACAAGCGTTATTGTCTGAAGAGAAATGAAATGTTACTGTGTATTTTAGAAATCTCCCAAATATGTATCCAATTATGTAATAATGACCACAGCAACTTCCACCTCACTCACTGGTCACTTGGGCAAAATAATCTGCAGCCAGTTTAAAAGTATGGAACATTTCTGGGATGAAAACAAGAACCCATCTTCAATTCCTCAGACACTTGGGAAAAAAAAAAGATCAAGGGCAATTAGTCACATAAAGATGTAACTGCAATGATGGGGCACCTTGATTTCATCAAGGTATCTACCAGCCGGAGAGTACACGCTTCTAGTAAAATTCAAGAACTGTATCAAATCCATTAGACAAAAAGCTGACTTTCACGTGACTGAGACTAGTAATACTGTCTAGAATTCTGTTCCAGCATTGTTTTAAAATACTATAAGCTAATGAATTATCTGTAATTGAGGAACGCATCTTAATTTTTAAGTAAATTGGAGTGTTCCAGAGGATTTTTGCTGGCTTCACTTTATTCTGTTTTGAGGAAAAAAATTACTAGCGATGTTTAAACAAGTTGAGCTGCCTACGCATGTGGTTGTCTTCCCTGGTTAATAGTCAGTGTTAGAAAGGAAACCTGATTTACTGGATTATTTTGGGATGCACCAGTCTACTACATAAACAAAGCAGGGAAAAAAAAATCTGTATTGTCTTACAAAACACAGTTATGAAAACTATAAAGTCACTCTAGACAGTTAATAAATCTGTGCTCACACATGGCAAAAAATCTGAACTTTCAAAGATTTATACCTTATACATTTTACAAACATGTCATAATTGCTAATGGCTCAATGGTTGGACTTGATGATCTTGGAGGTCCCTTCCAACCTAAAGGATTCTATGATTCTATGATTTGTGATCTAGTGAGAATCACAAATCATATTTAATTAAAAATTAAAAACAGTCCCCCTGCAAAGCAGTATCTGAGGATCTCAGTGAAGGATTCTTTCCATTTGTCTATTGCTTTTCTTATTGTTATGTTTCTTATTTGTTTCTTTGTTTTCAAATGAAACCTATAGAGTAAGATACAGTTATATGCAAGTAAACTGTATTTACAGTATACATCAGTAAACCAAATATCCACTCCACAGTAATACTTAGCCAGATAAAACATGATAAATAACTGGAAAGTTTCATTTAGAGCATTTCCCTGTTCACTAAATCAATCACCTGGGAATGAAATTTATCTTGCAAGGTATATATGCACATATGCTGTTATTACCCTTCGCTATACTGTATCGAAGCAAGTAATTCAGTGACCTCTCGATACAAAGAACACCACTCGCTTCTTCTGCTTCAGTGATCAACAGCTCTCTCTAGAAATTCCCCAATGGGGAACAGAGGTGACACCGTTGAAGAGAATAGTCATTCCAGGAACATGGCAACCACATCAAGCTACTTCTCTCACAGGGACACCACAGCCTTGTTAAATAACATCAAACCAAGCACTGACAAATACATACTTTTCTATTAGGTATCCCCACTTGCTGGTAAATGTCTATAAAAAGGTTCACTACTAATGGGCAACATTAAGTTTTTCCATGAAAGTCACACAAATGGTTCTGTTGGAGACTAAAAGCCTTTCTACTATTTTTTTTTGCCACTAACAAAATCTTTTTAAAATAAAAAAATACAATACTATATAACAGAGCACTTACATGATATAGAAGTAGCTTCTCTTTCAACCAAGTGCATTTACAAATGGAGATATATTCTCCCTTGCACTTCAACACGTTCAAAACTGGAATTTAGCATGATTTGTAACTAATGTGTCAGAGTTTTTTTTATGTGTTTGTTTGTTTTACCTTTTTTCTTATTATTTTTATATTCTGCTTTGTGGTGAACTACTAGGAGATGCTAGGGAGTGTTATGCTATAGCTCTCCTCAAAGTTTAGATACTGCCTGTCACTCCTACTGAGATCCTACCAGCTTTACTACCTGAAGCGTACTCTTTTGGGTAAAACTTCTATACCCCACAACAAGGAAAAAATCCCAGCTCCTGAAAGTATAAGGGCAAGCAGACAACCCTAATTCTAGAACCAGAACACAGTTTGTACATTGGGGCTTTTCATGATTGCAATGGGTTGCAGTCATCCCTGATGCGTAACTTTGCCTCAATGGTCAAAGCTGCAGGCAGCACCGAAGTAGAGGCAGGCTAGTCATGTAAGCCAATAAAACACAGCTGTGTTGCTCAACTCCTTCTGAAAGCTGGAAAATGAATGAATATTCTTATACTAACAAAACCGTGTCTTCTTTTCTTTTATCAGTCCTAGGAGTGTTGTGGGAATAGATACAGAAATACCTCCACAGGTCCTTCACTGATGGGCATTTTCAAGTTTATATTTACACATCAGCTTCTGTTTGGCACGTTCTCAAAATGGGAGTTTATTCAGGATACCAGGACAGGCCAGATTACAGGAAAAGGAATTTATACCACAAAGTTTAAGCACCTAGATGAAGTTAGGGGTTCTCCCTAACTTCCCTCTCCTGTTGATAAAGACAGAGAAGAAATTATCAAAAATCAAGTTCAAAAGGAGCAGCTTAATGGAAGCACTTCAAATCACATATGCTTTCCTCTCCCATTAAACATACAGAGAACCTGTCCCTCTTGTGTCCTGCACCTTCATTCAGAGTCAGAAGTCACCTCACTTCAGCTGCCTAGAAGTCAGTATAGGACAGAAATGCTCATTTCTAGGGAAATGATCTGAGCTCGCAGGAATGAAATTGGTGATCATCTCCAGCACAAATGCCAAGGGTGCCACAGACACAGTCACAAAACTCCAAAGCATCCCGCATTTCTCAGCTGCACTTTTCAAAGGGAAGCACACTTTTCCATAACCAACAGAATTCCTTGTATTACTTCAGCAAACTCATCAGGAATACAGTAAGGAGGAGGAGGAGGAGAAGGATTAGGTAGCTGCTGTACATTTCTAAAGCAAGGATGGAATTCCAGAGCAGAAAATGAAAACTTAAATCTGTCAAACCTTGTTAAGCTTTATGATTATTTTGTTCCTTTTAATATTTGTTGGATGCTGGAAGCCTACCAACATCTGAGACAGGAGGTCTTTGACCATTTCACTAGGAGAGGAAAGCTTACTCCCTCCCCACTTCAGCTAACACAGATCCAAGCTAACAAGTCAGCAGAACTAAGAGTGAAACTTGTCAGTGAGACGAGGAACAGTTGATAATCTACCTTAAATACTTAATTGCTTTTCCTTTAAATCCTGATGTCCATTCTGTATTTATTGCCTGAATAATTTCCACATTTTAAAAAGGCTGATGTTGGAAAGAAAAGGAGTTGAAGGACTTCTGAGAAGCTAATAAGATATTCTATTCGTGTCCCAGATTGGAAGACAGATGTTAAGTTCATACTTAACCTGCCCTGCTGACCCTTCACCCAGATTTAACTCCTCCTCTCAAAGGGAAAACTGGCAGTATCGCTTGAAATGCAGCTGTAGAATATTTCAGATACCTCTTTCAGTTCCCTGTGTTTGGCACAGGGAACAGTGTCCCACTCTGTGCCCTTTGGAAAGTGACCTTCTTTTCTTTTTTCAGAATCAGATGGGCCATCAGCAGCCATCTCCAACTCATCCATTTGGTTCTCCTCTTCCTCAAAACCACAGCAACTGGTTTCTTTCAGTTGAAACCCTCGGATCAACAGCTGACAGGCCTCCAAGTCAGCTTCCCACACTCTTTGCAGCAGCTGGCTCCCACAGCTGAAATAAAAGCCAAAAGAAAATAAAATTGCAGTTCAGGGAGACTAGTTGCTATTTCAAGTAACTTTTGAGGTGACTGCTTATTATTAGATAAGAAAATGAAAGCAAGAAAAAAAAAAACAGCAGCAGCTTAAATATTTACACAGAGAAAACGCAAGCAAATTCAAACTGAAAAGCAGTAAAGTACAACCCTATTACAAAGCTGATGCCCTAGAAAAACACCTTTGTGCCAAGATGCTGCTTCCAACTATGGCATACACAGGCTACATGTGACCTTCTGATCAGACACAAGTCCAGGGGTCTTGCAGTCACAACCAGAACTTCCTTCATGCTGTCAGACATATGGGCCTGTTACTTCTCATTTTCCTGAATTTGATGATCTTCTACATCAAATTCACTAAAAGCCACTACGGAGATGAATTACAAATCACGCTATTCATTGCATTAAATCACCTCTAATTTTTGGAAACAATTTTAGGTACACTTCATTTCTCATTAGTCTGATGGGCTTGCTTCAACTCTGGTGAATCAGATTAAACTATAATACTCTTCCTTCAGTCTTACACTTTTGAGTACTGTGCTGACCTCTCACTAATATGCTTTGGGCTTTTTTTTCTACTTGGTTATATCACTGAAGAAAAACCAAAAGTATTAGGAAATTCAAAATACCAAACTTCTTTATACTTTTAATCCATTGACCACCTCTCAGAGATGTCCATGTACATTAGAAATACTGCTCTGGAGATCTGTCCAATAGATGGTTGCACTTGAAGTAAATGTGAATTCTAGGCATAGACAGTTTTTCAGAATAGGACACTGAAAAATAACATAACGCTTTTAAGAGATGTGGTCACATCTCCATTTAAAACATGTTGTCTCTAAGGAACCAAAAGATTATGTTGCCTGCTAAAATACAACCTATCAGTGACAGAGCCTGGGATGGGACTCAGAAGCACCCATTCCCATGGCAATACACCCTTCCAGACAGATTTGAATGCTAATATCTAATAGCCGCAATATTTTCTTCACAGTGCTTTTCAAATTCCATCATCTACTATATAATTGTAAGCAATTATAAGTGACTGAAAGAAGGAAAATAACTATTTAACTTTTCTGACTAAATTAAAATCAGCTCATCTTACTCTAAATGAAGGATAAAGAAGCTGAAGTGCTCACAATGAATTCAAGAAAGGTACATTTTTAATTCTAACAGTCTACAAGATGCCAAGCTGTAAAATTGACACACCAATATTTTAAGACTGAGAGCAAATTTAAGCTTCAGAAGCTGAGCAATCTGATCTGTACTTAGACACAGCATATATGTTTAATGAAGGCAGAATTCAGCACGAGGTCCACAAATTGTTCTCCGACAAGGAGTTCAGAGCATCACTAATTAGAAACAGAGAAAAAAAAGTCTTCACTGGATTACATTTCTGTGTTCCATTCAGGTAGCATTTCACTTACCAAGCCAGAAAAATAAAATAACTCCAACTGTTTCTGTACTTGTCAGTCACATCATCATGGTCACCCAGTCAAAACATCTCCCTGCAGATGTATGTAAGCCCATTTACTCACTTTTTGAAAAAATTAGTTTGCAGATATATATATAGCCTTTTATTAAAGACTCAGAAAATACGCTAGAGACCTAAATCATAATTTCAAGTGGATACCTTGTTTTGGCTATTCAACTTAATGAAGAGCTCTATTGACAAAACTAGGGCAGAGAGAGTGATGTATGTAGTGTTCACTGTGGACAAGATGAACAGCATATATACAAGTACAGTGTAATGATGCCTAGGCTGTATTTGGCCATGACTCAGCTCATTGGTTAACACACTTTTGTTATATCTTAACTTTTACACCCATTTTAGTAATTAGCAGTTATTGAACATACCACTAATAGCTTGTTTTTATTTTAAGGATGTCTTTGTTTTATCATCATATCTGTAAAACTCTAATACATCTTCAAGTAAGATACTCAGATGTTATACTGAATTTTTTTAACTGAAATCAGTGACTGCACATATACTTAGATATTCTGAACCCACATAAGCCCAAGCATTCTGCATCTTTAGTCTGCATTTTGAAATTCAGTACCTAGAAGCATTTTTCAAATATACTTTTTGAATGAAAACTACTTGAAAGCTGCAAATAGCTGACACAGAGACACATACCAAATATTCATTAAAAATTATGTTGTCAACAGCATGCAAAATTCTTTAGCTTTTACATCTAGTATAAAATCAAGCCCAATTGAATTTCGGAGTTTGATTTATTCATGTTCAAGCCACTCTAAAATCACATTTGCAGTCTCCATGAAGCCAAAGGTACGTGGATGCCTGTTCTGAACACAGTGAGTTTTCTTAGGGATGCAACTTTTCTAAATGATGGATCGAGATTCAATCAAGTTTTGATTTTATCCTTACAAATATTTTTTTTTTATCCATCAACCACTTATACAGACCCAGAAGCAACAAAGCATACCTTAATCACCTACAGATTATGAACTTCCCAGTGCCAAAGTGCTCATGAGTACAAAGTGACGAGCTTTGTACAAACACCAAACATAGTACAACGATGGCACTTTTCTCAGAAAGATTTTTAAGTTTACAACAAGGAACAAGAGCTAAGACACAGACAATGATCAAAGAAATACTGAGACAACAAAGGACTGAACATGGCACGGTAGTTACAGTACCACAATTTAATTAGTTACATCAGTAACTAATCAGTCTAATCACTGTCAAGCACACTGATGTGGCAGAGTGAATGACCACTTTAAGGACCTGCAGGAGACCAATGAAACAGGTCAGTGGATCTCTAAGATACCCATCCCTCCATAAAGGTATCATGTTAAAAAAGGTAAAAGACGTTGATATAAAAACATAACTGACAAGTGACTTACACCAATGTGGTTTAACATCTGTAGATGGAAGTCAGCCTTTTTATATTAAAAAAAACCAAACAAAAACAAACAAACAAACAAACAAAAAACAACCAACCAACCAACCAACCAGAACAAAACTGAGTAGGTGGTAAAATATTTGTGAGCAGCCATGAAGGCTAGTAGTTCTGTTTGAAGTGACAGGAGAGAGGAAATCAATGGAGAAAAACAAAGCGAAATGATCAGAAACACAGAATTAAAACAAAGCAAAGCCTGTTCATCACAGTGGCAACAGCACTTTGTGTGGATGAGAGTAGGGCAAGACTGCTATTGTCAAGTCATGGTCAGGGAAATGGATATGGAAGTGAGAGAGATGCAAGACTCAGCCTGAGTAATTTTTTAGCTAGATGGATAGCTGGAACAGGTTTCATCTCAAGGGTACTTTGCAGAAAGAATCTACAAGAGGAGACCTAAGTTAACTTGAATGGCTGAGACATCCACAGCAACACAAAAGGACGCAGCAGGGAGAATTCTGGATTAGGTCAAGTTGATGATGATGAACGAGCTGTCAGAGAAACAGATCTGTTTATGGACAAGAGGAAATGAACATGGAACAAAGAGATTTATCCTTGAGTTCTCTTCATAAAGTGGCAATTTAAATTGTAATTGGAGATGTTTTTTCCGAGTCTCAAGTAGTTTTCTAGAAAACACAACCAGAGACCAGAGGATATCTTCAACCTACATGTAACATTGGGTGAAATTCATGTCAAGAGTCATATCCAGCAAGGATTCTCTCTCTCTTCCTGGAAGTCCAAAGAACATTGCTCCTCTGTCTTTTCACAAGATTCCTTGAGATATCGGGGGGGTCTCTATGGAGCTCTCAACACAACAGCATTCTAAAACTATTTATAGTGCTAGCTGGAACTATAAGAACATGACTTTCCTATTGAGGGCTCTGAATACATACAAAAGGCACATTCAGTTCCTGAACATTACAGCCTAAATGAAAACATGCCTGTGCAAAAATAATCAAAATATTTTATATTAAACCCTATTTAAAAGAAAACAAAACAAAATCTCCCAAAATCTCCGCAAAAGCAAATCAGTATCAACATGAGGAGATGTCACTATTTGTAAATCGCATCATCTCTAGTTTTTAGGAATGCCACTTGATGAGTGAATTGTTAAAAGTGTTTTATAACACACTCGGGTCAACATTGTGTGTTGACACAAGATGTTCTTATTTTAAAGGAAACCCTTGTAAGTAGCCACATCTTGAAAGCCAAGAGAGTGAGACTGAAGCTGAAAGGCTACATCGTAAGACACCTATTTAGAAACTGCATAACCAAAAGCTAACTTATTAGGGGAGATTAACCATCACCAAGAAGAAATACTCTAAACAAATTCTTTCTAACGGGTGAGCCACATTAAGGTGCAGATTCTTTACCCAGTACACTTGGTACACAAATTAACACTGAATTCACTGACCCTAAAAGTTGTTTTCTCTGACAAAAAGCAAACAAACCAAAGCAGAACAAAAATAGCCTGGCAGGAACAACAAGGATTTTCCTTACAGCAGTTAAAATGATTGGCAAGTTTCAAGGCTTACAGAAAATGGCACTGTGAATCAAGAGACTTTGCTCTATATCCCCAGTCTTTGTTGATCTATTGTACAAACTAGGGAATGTTTCTCTATATTTTGGTCACTCCTATTTATATTTTGCACCACAAGGAAGGAACTAGCTCTTCTTACTCTAAATTTAGTTATGTCTTTGTTGCCTTTTCGTAAGGCAACAGCCATGCAGTGAACAAAGGAGGCAAGGAAAGTATAGAGTAAACTGTATTGTTTTACTGTTAGCAGAAATCCAACCCTCTGATTTGTTTTATCATATTTTTTCACACCCATGCATTAACAGCCCTTCTTACATTTAATGAATATTTAGAACTTTAGGAATATATTCTACTTTTCTCCTTCATAAAACAAGGTTTCCAGCCTGACCAGTTCTTGATCTTTAACCTTAGCTGTTATATTTTACAATGCCTACAACCAATATATTGAACAAATCAAGGACTACAGTGTTCCTATCAGTGGGTGACATGAGGGTCTACGGAGAGAGAGGCACATAACCCTGTTTTCCCTGTTTGGATTGTGTGGAACAGCAGACTGGTAAGGGAGAAGGTATGGCTGGGGCTCAGCAGATCACAGCTCTCAGCTGATGAACTTAAAAAAAAGAGAACAAGAAAGAGCAATAAAAGTGACAATGAAAATGTGGACTCTGCCCAAACAGCAAAATTCATTTTTTTCCTTGGCCTACACACTAGAAAGTCACATTTTATAAACATCTGACATCAAAACATTTTCAATTTTTCCTCTTGGAAGTCTCCCTAATCCTATAAACCCCTTCATATAACCTCAATTTTACAGTGCAATTCCTTGCATTGTGCCTCTTCCCTCCAATCTCCTCAGGAGCCCAAAATCTCATGAACTGAATTCATACTGTTTGGATTGTATGGAGGTCCCACAGTGTGGGAGACATTCTTCCTACTCCCTTATTACAAAGCTCACTGACAACACTTGTTTGCTGTTCAGCACCATTATTGCCCTTCCCCATGTAAAAACAAGACTCACTACCAAATGACTCCATGCTGCCCTGTCAGATGACCACCTGCTCTAACACTTACCTCGGAGACTAGCTAGAATTCCTAGACAAAGTCAAAAGCTTGCAGTACTTTCCTCTGGCACTAGCAATTTGCTGTTCTGACCTTGACTTCTCCCTTATAAAGCATACAATAGTATCTAGAAAACAACAAGGAGCTTCCCCTCCTTATATGCGATATTTGACCTACTGTAGAATACTCTGGACCAGAACCACAAGAGCCTAAGAAAGCAGTTCTGTTCTGTCCCGGTTAGAAGGCAGAATTGTGTCCCAGCTCCCTTATCCCTCAGTTTCCCAGGTAGAGAGGTAAATAAGGAAGGCACGGGTAATGAAAACCTTGCACCAAATTGAAAATTAACAAAATGAAATATATTATTTAACAGGGAACAGAAAGGAAGAAGGGTAGGGGTTTAAACAGGGTACAGAAAGGAAAAAGGGTAGGGGGTTTAACAGGGTAAGGGGGGTTATAGGAACAACAAGGCAAGGAAGATTAAACTTCCAAATATATAAAACCCAAATGCTATGCTGAGGCTCCCCGGTGCTGGATCTCGCTGGATTGAGGTGGATTGAAGCTGGATGCACAATCCTTGGACGTGGATGGAGGCAGGGAATCAGTCTGTAGATCAGGCCCAGGTCTCCAAAATGGCCACGGCCACGTGTAGCACAGGGAGCAGCAGAGCAGTGTGTGCCCAGGTAGAAGGTCAAAGGAACAAGAGCCAGAGCAAGAGTAAGAGCAAGAGAGAGAGAGCAAGAGAGAGAGGTGTGCCTTTCTCGCCCCTTTTATAGACCTTGGCAGGAAGTCCCGAAGACAGGAAAAAGGGGAGTGGGAATAGGACAGGTGTACGCCCCTTTCATTCAGGCTTGTACCTGGTTTAGGGTTTTAGATCTCCACCCACCAGGGGCAGCAGGTTTTAAACCATTACAAGTTCTCACAAATCCCATCTAACCTCTAAACCCCAACATCTTCAACACCTAAACATCTTGATCTCAGCTGACTTTTCTAATATCTAAACCTCATGAGCCACAGACAAGGCCTCTGGCACAACAGTCCTATCCAAGTGAGATCCATCACATCCAGACAGAACACAAGCGGGCAGGATGCGGCGGCAGCCCCCTGGCCTGCGCTCTTCTGCTCTGCTCTGCTTCTCGGAGTCTCCCCCCTCCCTGACCTTCAGGCGCCGGCCTGCTCCACACAGCAGCCGGCAAAGACCAACTCCTCTCCAGTTGGCCATGAGAGGCCGACACGGCCATCGAGCTGCACACGAGCCAGAGAGGAACAAAGCTGGCATTAGGAAGTTGGAGCAAAGGGAAGTCCATCGCCGGACTCTGTCGACAGGCTGCACCCTCTTACTCCCTGCCCTGTAACAGGAGAGAGCCCTTCCACTGGGACCACTCCACTGCCTGGAGGAAACACCCTTCAAATCCTCACAGCAGTGCCACAGGCACAGCTGAAGAAAGAAGGGAAGACCAACTGCGGATGGCACCGGTACGGGCACCGAGCGTCCCGCAGCACACCCGTGCTCACTCCTGACCCAAAGTGGCTTGGCAAAGCTGCCAGGGAGCAGCGTGGCAGGCAAGGTCCTCGGGGCCTGCTGGACACCCAGGGCTCGAGCGGGAGCCAGCAAGGGGCCCCGGCCCAAAGGCAGTACGCTGGGCTGCCCTGGGCAAAGCCTTGCTGGCAGCTGGAGACAGGTGACCCTTGCCCTCTGCCCAGCGCAGGCAAGGCTGTGCCTGCGGCGCTGTGCCCAGCCGGAGGCTCCCCGGCAGGAGAGAGGCCTGGGCATCCCGGGGAGAGCCCACGGGGCCCCTCCCCCACCACCACCTCCCAGGGCCACCCTCGGGGTGACAATGCCAGGCTTCTGTGGTGACCCGGCAACGGCCCCGGTGCCTGCAGTGCCAGCAGTGAGTGGGGCTGGCGACAGGTGAGCTCTTGCCCAGCACCACTCCCTGGCACCAGGAGCCACTCAGCAGCCTCGCTCCAGCCCGAAGGGTACTCTGCTGAGCCCCACCGGTGCCTGCTGTGCCTCAGGACTCACCAGGATGGGCCAGCTCTGCTCCCGCCTCCACCCCAGGTGAGCTCCCCGTGCGGCTTGGGGACACGCCGGCACAGCCGGGCCCCGCAGCAGCCACCTTGCTCACGCCTCAACCCATCTGCCCGGCAGCACCCGCCCAGAGCTGCTGCAGCAGCATATGTCCACCTTGGCGTCCCCTGAGGCACCACTCCGCCAGCGTGTGTGGGTGACCCTGGGCCAGAAGACGAAGGAGAGGGACCTCCTCCTCTTCAGCAATAGCTTGGTCATCAGCCTTGCCTCCCGAGCCCTGGCCCTGGCGCTGGGGTGGCGACCCCTAGGGAGCAGACCCAGGCCCCCGGCACCCTGCTGCTGGATGTGCCCGCGTCCGTCAGAGGGGACCCACCAGGCTCCCCCACCTCAAGCTCACTCCCTGCCGCTTCCCTCTGCAGACCTGGCAGTGCCCCGCACCTGAAGATCTGCCTGCTGCTGGGTGAGCTGCAGGTGCTCAGCAGCAGGCGCGGGGCAGGCGGTGACGGCGTTGAGGAGGAGGAAGAAGGGAAGACCACCAAATCCCTTCTTCTCATCTGGCCCAGTGGCTCCTGTGCCATCACCTGCCCTGCCTCTCTGGCTGTCCCCACGGGGCAGGGCTGTGGCGGTGCCCACCTCTGCCCCCAGGCCGGGCAACAGGGGACACTCAGGCTGTTTCCTCTCTTTCTGCAGCACCCTGGT